ACTATAACATCACAGAAAGCGTGATTATTTGATGCAGATGATACAGGATCAAAAACTGGTTTGCAATGATGTCAAAGGGATGTTTTTGTCCATAACAGGCACAAGAGGGTGGTACATTTTAAATCTGCTGCTACACAAAAACTAAAAAAGCATAAAATGTGATATTTTGCCAGACTCTTGACATATCCAAGGCTGATTTAAAACAAATTATTTCAGTCACTCAAAATATGTTTTATGTAAAATATCTCCTCTTTTGTCTGCTTTATTCATGAAAAAATGAGCATCACATAATCAAACTGGCATATAAAGGGTTAAGGTTTAGATAAATATTCAATATTTGATTATTTTGATCAGAACTGAAGTTGATGACAAGATTTAGACCCAAAAAGCAGAAAAAAATATTCATCTGGACCATTTTTAAAGCAGCTTTAAAAGTGGACGTTTTTGTCCTCTAATGGCTCGAGTGTAAAGTAAATTTTAAATCAGTTGCTATGTAAAAACGATAAATGCAAAAAATTCAAAATTTTAGATATTTCATAATATAATCAAGACTGATTTGTACTAAACACCCCAGGCAAAAAAAAATATGTCTTTTTTTTTGAAAATAACAGTTTTATTTTTTTTACATAAATTACAGCAATGACTTTGAGTATTCAAACTGGCATTTCAAGGGTTAAAAGCCTCAAAATGATTGAATTTTTTTAATGTTTGAGCAGGGCTGAAGTTGTTCAACAGATTTATGAAAAAAAGCAAAAAAAAATTAATGTATGCATTTTTATGGCCACTTTTACAAGCAAACGTTTTTGTCCTCTAACGTCTCAAGTGTATAGTGTTTTTTTTCATAGTGTTCCCTTAGTCTATTTTAAAACTTCCAAATTGAATTTCAAAATTTGTTCAGAGAGAGGTTTTGCGACAAAATTTTGTACCATATGCACAAACGGTGGTGAAATGGCATCAAAAAGAAAAACAAAAAACTGCCCAAATGGACTAAAATGCCCCTAACGAAGCCTGAGGGTTAAATGTTTCATTTAGTTTTACCTAACCGAAGACAGAACTGCAACAGATCATTCATCACCATTAAGTATTTCTGATGAATCATTAACAGCAAAAATATTTGCTTAATGATTCTATTTCCTGACACACATGCAAACAAGGCCCAAAGAATTCCTCATTAAGTTTTACATGTGTGTTTATATGATATAATCAGTCAACGTAAACTGGCTCAGTTTACTTAATAAAGCAACTCACTGATAATAAAAACTGTGGGATAAACTTATAAAAGACCAAGTGTGAAATCAGTCTGTCACACCTCTCCAGATGCCCGTTACGGCACTAAATAAAACTTGTTATTCAAATCTCGTGGAATGTCTTTGTGATGTAATATTTTATTTTTTCCAAATAAAATAACAACAACCGAGCCACAAACCCGGTAGTTTTATCACTAATCATCTCTGTTCGTCACTAAATTCCACAAGTAATTATCATTAAGATAATCTCAACACTTCACATGTACACTCTGTATAAACACGGTGACGGCGAGCATAAACAGCCTCCAGCTTGGAGCCATAAATCATCCCCATCCCACCTGCTACATCTGAAACCAGAATGAAACAAACTTATGCAACGCAGCCCCCATCCAGCTGTCCACCCCTCATCTCTCTTATTTATGTCTTGAAACAGCCGCCGTCTACAGCCAGCCGGCAGAAATGCCTCCTCAGTAAAGTTGGATGAAAATAAAATTAAATCCCGAAACCAAAATATAATTTTTGAAAATTCAACAATAAAGCTTTGTTTAAAAAGAACAATTTCTGTCATAAGGTATTTAAAACAAGTCATCGACTAAAATCTTTGCTATAAACAGCCATTATATTAATGATCGATTTTAAATCAGAATCAGAAGAATCAGAATCAGAAGGTTTTTAATGCCATATGTGTGCCAAGTCACAACATTAGGAAATTGCTGCGGTATTTGGTGCAGAAGGTGAGATAGAGAAAAAAAAAATTAAGAGATAAGCAAATATAGGAAGTAATAAAACACTCATGATAAAATTATTAATGTAAGAAATGGCAATAATTAGAGAAGCAGCTATCTACCCCGTGTAGGTACTAATCTGAGTGTTTGCTGAATGTTTCAAGCACAGCATCGGGTCACGTGACTGGGACCAATCAACTTGAGTGGGCTGCCCTAGGACTTTCTCATGGTTTCTCGTTTCTCCACCTTGCCACATTAAAAGAAAATGCTTTGGTAGAGCTGGACGTTTTCTCAACAAACACAAAAAAAAGAGCTTTGTTAAATTCTCATTTTAGTTTAATACATCTGAGACTTTGAAGACATAAGAATAAATACATAAATGAGAATTAAAAAAATTTCTCTAATTAGAACAACCATGTGTGCGACCATAGTGATGCATGTACGTGAATAACTATTGATGGTTTCCACAGTTTGCCTCAGGGTTGGCATGTATTCTTGTACTTATGCTCAAAAGCCTCTTTTAGAAAACAATGCCGCCAATTTGCCGCGACGTTGAGTTGGCATCAGGGAGCCTTAGGCCGATTATAAGTAGTCAGACCGTGGTGGAAAAGTGGCTCAACTGTGTCGTTTTTACAAAAAAATTACGCGAGGGTGGTAAAAAGTGGGTCTGGGGGCGGTGTCTGCGCTGATGCTGACTTCCATTTTTCTTGGATATAATTTGCTTTTTATTGCAATTGAAGCTACGCTCATTATGTTTTTTTTTCACAAGCCGCTCCTAAAAGCGTCTGTCCTCGACAGTCCCCGTGAATGGTCTGATAATCTTATCTCCAGCGCGAACGGAGAAAAGATCCTGGAGCTCTGCATCGCTCCAGTTTATCATCTCAGCTGATTCTGTTCAACAAGTGAAACTTACTGCCATGTTTACTTTAATTTTCAATATAGTTTCCTGCCAGAGCTTGGCAGTCATTCCACACATGATGATGACACCTCCCTCTGTTGCACCAAGGCGTAATAAGCATTCACAAGTCTGGCGTTGCAGCAATATTACTACCAAGAGGGCTGGTGTTATGTTGAAATTAGTTCCCCTATGGAGATCTGTTTCTTTTCCACCCAGGTGCGAGTTTGAACATCCATTCGCAAAAAATCCCAACCCTTACCCTAACCATAACCCTAAAACAAACATAAAAATTGTGCTCAATAGAGTAATTGTATATTTCACAAAACATACATTTTTGGTGGTTAGGGTTAGGTAGAGGGTTATTTATTTGTGAATGGTTGGTTCCAATTCACAGCTGGGTGGAATAGAAACAGATCTGGACAGGGGAACTCATCAACATAACACCGGCACTAATGTTGCAAAATCATGGAAGCAGTATTACACTCATTTGCTGGCATGGTCTGTCTTCTAAAAAGGGCTAAAGCCTGGTTCATGCTTCTATTAGGCCATTCCCATCTGTACCGGGTCGGCCCGGGCCGGGTAGCGTAGGTTGTTTACATATCTGGGTGGCCTGGTATTTTTCCGGGCCAACCAAGGCTCATTCTCAGCCCTCTTCTCGAGGGGGTCTGCTTCAGGCCGACCAGGGCCAACACACCCACTGCTGACAGCAAATTCACACCTTCCATTAGAGCAAGCCTCTGATTGGTGGGTAGAATCAGCCCACATGGGCTTAAGGCAATGATGTGTGGAATCAACCGGGCCAGGCTGAGGCCGACTGGGGCTACCCGGCCCGGGCCGTCCCGGTATAGATGGGAATGGCCCATTTTTCAGCTCCGCAAGGGACAGACACGCACGGATTGACGGAAGCGTTTTGCTCTCATACTTCTTCGTCTCCTGGAGAGTGTTGCCAAGCAATTCCCCAGCAGGACAACAGAGGGCGTAGGGCTGTTCTGTGGTATCCTGTCATAGCCTAGTGAACTAGACCAAATTCTTGCTTTGCAAAGAATGGTCTAGGCATGCTCCATTGGAACCTCAGCAGCTCCTACCAGGACTTTGGCTAGCCAATCACAGCTCTCTAGAGGGGTTTCAAACACAAAAAGAGCTGTGATTGGTCCATGATGGTGGGCCAGTTATAGTGCTCTATCTGCTTAGTGAACAAATCACAGAGCTTTATCCGCTTTGTGGGCCAATCAGGGCACTCTATATGCCTGGTGGGTGGGATGATGCAACAGAGTGAAACAAGAGTATGTCACATTCATTGTCCAGTGGAATGCGGAGATCATTTGAAAGACAACGGTAGAACCCGCCCCACAACCGAGAGCCGTCAATGGAGCGTGGTCAGACTAAATAATACATTTATTTAGTCTGGCTTGCCAGGCTAATCCTGTCATGTATCCGGTCCAAGATAGTGTGTTTATATTGTGTTTTTGTATATGAGACTTTTTAACAAACAAATGTGTCTCTCATTCTCCTCCATCTCTTCATGAGCTCGCCACCTCTAAACCCACGTTTCCTGTCATTTCTGTCCACAAATAAAACGCTTGCTGCGCATCTTTTCACTCCTCCAGTCACGGGGAATTAAACGTTCATGTTTTTAGAGTTTTTTCGCGAGGTATTCTTCAAGCTGCTCCGTGTCTGCCGCTGTTTATCCTCGGCTCTCTTTATGTTTTTGAGGGTGCAATGGTGGCGGTGTAGACGACAGCGGCGTCCTGACCAATCACAAGCTTGCGTTGTCCGTCTCGACTGACGGATGTTTGGAAAAGAGAGCTCGACTCCGTCCGTCCTTGCGGAGCTCTCCAGCAGGTCCGCAAGGACGGATAATGGCGTTGCGTGTCTCCGCACTGACGCAGATGGAGAAGCATGAATCAGGCTTAATGCAGTGCTACCACTGTTGACAGAGGTAATTCAGTTTCACTAGTTAAACTCCATCTTGTGCTCATTAGGGTGAAACACTTGAAATGAAATGATCTGTAAACAGAAAGTCTTACCGAGACCACAAGTTCTACTGTATGTTCCACTGGACTAAAACGTTTAACCCATCTCGTTCCAGCTCCAATCAAACAAACACCTGGAAACAGACGTCGTTCTTACCAGATTCCATGAAGTCTTGGTTGAAGTTGTTCCAGGAAGCTTTGCTCTTTTCCAGGTTCTCCTCCATGACTTTGATGTCCGGAAAGGGGCAGTTGCATTCTGGGAATCTGGGAGAGCACCGGCACCAGCAGTCGTTACTACGACAGAGCAGCTGTCCCTCTGAGTTACACGCCACGTAGCTGAGGGCCGCTTCCACAAAGCGGCTGCGCAAAAACTCCGGCAGGACATCTTGCAAACCTGAAAACAGGACACAATGTGAATGTTGCCGTTTTATTTATTTTTAGTTAAAAATCAGAGCTCATTTTGTAACATTTATTATTTAGTGCATCATAACAATTTAACTCTTCAGAATCACAGGCACTCAATGGAAGTGCTCTTTGCTGTGTTAGTTTTCACACACAGCTGCTAAATAAATCAGTAACTTTACACTTTTGAAATGATGTAACATGAAGTTATTTTACTTTTGTCACTGCTTTTTGTCTTTAATGGACTTTGCTTAGAGATTCTGACAATATGAACATGACTTGGTGGCAGAGGCTTGTAAAATTACTAACAAAGACAATGGCATGATATGTAAGATTTGTTTTAAATGCATAAAAACCCAAACAAGCCTTACTTTTGTTTTCCATCAGTTTAAAGTGAACTTTCACAGTTTTAGCAGCTGATCTTTAAGGTTATTTATACTAATAGGAGACTTAGAGGCTAATAATATCTGCCTTCACAAGCAAGGGAACAGAAAAGCTTAAGATTCACTGCTTTCATAATGTAAATTATGTGAAAAATGTAGGATGCTAATTATGGAGCCAAGTTCTATTACTGCACAGCCCATTAAGCCAGATCATAAACTGGTGTTTTTGTGTTGAAGAGTCTTAGAAGCAGCTTTGGAATGATTTGATGCGGGGGCCTCATGCTTCTTTCCTGAAACCTTCTGCTAGTCCGTACCTGTCTCTCTGCATGTCTAATACTGCAATTTATGTCAAAGGCTGCCTCTCTCTTTGGTTCAAAAAACTAATTCTGGATGATTTTCAACAGCCAAGTCGATCCCACTGCGCCCTGCTATGAATATGCATATCTCCTCTTTGGTATTTACTCTGTCAGTGGCTTGGAAAGAGATGTAATTAGTCACATTTTCCTTGCTCCTCGCTTTGGCAGGTGTGTTGATGTCTTTTTTAGAGGCTTCTCTGTGTGCTAGTCAGTCAGTGTGTGTGGGGGTGTTGGAGTAGGTGTGTGGACTGGCCAGTTCCGAAACTACAGGGTGGTTTTAGAGCAGACAGGCGGTTCTTCAGTTTGGGAGAGACAAGAATCAAAACAACACAAAAAAAGATCTTCCTGCTTCCAAAGGCTGGGATTTAATTATTATTTTATTCTGTCAGTCATGGTTAGATTTTCTTATGTTTACATTTCTGTAAACATAAGAAGAAATATTATGGCAGCTTTATTTGTAATGTTGATAATAGCATTTATCAGAAATGAATGAACACATACAATAAATAAATAAACAGGAAGTGTAGCAAATAAACTTCTTAAAGAGCAAACCCTAACCCTAATCCTACAGAGTCTTACTCCACCCACACAATACGGCTCGTGAGTGGCTGAGACTCGGCTGCAGTCCAGTGCAGTGCTGCCACATAATAATGATACCAACAATGCCACGTCGAAATAGAGTAGAATGCCTTCTCCAGGTTAGGAACGAGGTCTTCAGGTGGAGGAGTTTATCTTGGGGACTTGTTCACGAGTGAGGGAAAGATCGATCGAAGCTCTCGAGTTCCTACACTCACCTACGGTCACGAGCTTTGGGTCGTGGCCATAGGTGAGGGTAGAAAGAACAAGATTGCGTAAACAAGCGGCTGGAATGGGTTACTGTATTGACATCAAGAGTAACCAGTTGATGTGGCTCAGGCATCTGTTTAGGATGGCTCCTGGCCTGCTCCCTGGTGAGTTTTTCCTGGCATGTCCAGCAGGAGGAGACCCAAGGGTAGACCCAGGACAAGTTGGAGGGACTATGTCTCTTGGCTGGTCAGTGAATGCCTTTGGATTCCCCCAAAGGAACTGACTCAAGTGGCTGCGGAAAGGGAAGTCTGGGCTAGGCTGCTGCCCCCATGACCCAACTCCGGATAAGGTGCAATTATGATGGTTGTACGCTGTACAATCTTGAAAGCTAAACTTTTATATTTGAAATAAGATAAAAATCTCCAAATAATGACTAAGTCTGTCTTTTAGACATTCAATCATACAGTTTAAAATAGGTGAGATGAGGGGGTGAGTTGCTCTTTAATCTTACTGAGGGACATCAGTAAAAAAATTGAGTTTGAAAATAAAATGCGTAATCACTTCACTGCTTAAAACACAAAAGTTTCTCAAAACCATGAGTGCAACTTTCAAGCATTCTTTTGAAAAGTTTGGACGAGCACTCAAGCATCACTTGGCCTCAAAGTTATTTTATACAAAATCATCTCTGTGTATCAAACACAACTTGGCAGATTTTGTCCAGAACATATAAAAAAGATTATTATTATTCAGCTTGGCTGTCAGGTAGAGACTTGTCGGTGAGTCATCCTCCTCTCACCTTGCTGGTCTTTACCTTTAGACACGTGTCAATGTTGCAGCAGTGCTTTAGTATTCAGACAGATCCTTTCCATGTTCATTAAAATTCTCTCATCTGCTAATCCAAAGTGAATAAAAGTAACCACTTTAATGCTTCACATAATGTGTCTGAGTGGTGTTTCAGCTCTGATTTAGCTTTTTTTTTATCCTTTAAAGTCACACAAGACCCAACCCACCAACCGGTCCTAGTTTTATCCTTCCATCTGTAGATTTATTGTCACAACTAACTTGATTAAAATCAAAAGTCTCTGACAGAGTTGTTGAAAAAAAAAACAGTTGAAATATTATAAGGACAGACTTAACTGAGGAAATTTGCAGGACAGCTGTGCAATTGATGCAATGTGATAACATTTACATTGTTTTCATTTAACTTGGCCCTATTTTAGGATCAGCTCACACTTGTGGCGTTTTGATAATTGTATTCCAATGCTTGGTGCTTTAGTCGTTTTTATTTGTACAGATATGAACACAAAACTGTTTGGAGAGGGCGGTCTTGATGCAGTTCCATTACAGTTCATTGATCATGTGATCATGATCCAACCATGATCCAGCACAACTACCAGATGGGCAATGCTTTTTAGGTGCAAAATGCTTTGCATTATGGGATGCAATAGAGTACTTAAACTTTAGCAACTAGCTAAAAGGGGCTCATTTGAATGAACAACATTTCTTTTATGATACTCTTCACAAAATCCTATTTGTATTCTGCTCTTTCAGTTACGACTGAAATCATTGGCGTATATTTGCTCTCATATTGTCACTGACATTTTAACATGGTAAATGGTAAATGGTAAATGGCCTGTATTTGATATAGCGCCTTCTAGAGTCCTGGAATCCCCCAAGGCGCTTTACAACACAATCAGTCATTCACCCATTCACACACACATTCACACACTGGTGGGGATGAGCTACAATGTAGCCACAGCTGCCCTGGGGCGCACTGACAGAGGCGAGGCTGCCGAGCACTGGCGCCACCGGTCCCTCCGACCACCACCAGCAGGCAACGTGGGTTAAGTATCTTGCCCAAGGACACAACGACAGCGACAGACTGAGCGGGGCTCGAACCTGCAACCTTCCGATTACGGGGCGAGCACTTAACTCCTGTGCCACCGTCGCCCCAAAAAGCTGCTTTATTGAACCGTAAACATGTTTTCTGCCCTCCGGTGGAAGCTAAAGTTGCCAAGTACTAATTTAAGTTAGTTTTGTTGTTGTAAAAGTAAATTATTGTTGTATTATTACAGGTGCTGGCCAGTAAATTAGAATATCATCAAAAGGTTGAAAATATTTCAGTAATTCCATTCAAAACGTGAAACTTGTACATTATATTCATGCAATGCACACAGACCAATGTATTTCCAATGTTCATTACATTTAAATTTGATATTTATAGGTGACAACCAATGAAAACATCAAATCTGGTATCTCAGAAAATTAGAATATTCTAAAGGCCAATGAAAAAATGTTTGTTTCTCTAATGTTGTTCAACTGAAAAGAATGAACATGAAAAGAATGTGCATGTATAGCACTCAATACTTAGTCGGGGCTCCTTTTGCCTCAATAACTGCAGTAATGCGGCGTGGCATGGACTCGATCAGTCTGTGGCACTGCTCAGGTGTTATGAGAGCCCAGGTTGCTCTGATAGTCGTCTTCAGCTCCTCTGCATTGTTGGGTCTAGCGTATTGCATCCTCCGCTTCACAATACCCCATAGATTTTCTATGGGGTTAAGGTCAGGCGAGTTTGCTGGCCAATCAAGGACAGGGATACCATGGTCCTTGAACCAGGTGCTGGTGGTTTTGGCACTGTGTGCAGGTGCCAAGTCCTGTTGAAAGGTGAAGTCTGCATCCCCATAAAGTTGGTCAGCAGCAGGAAGCATGAAGTGCTCTAAAACTTCCTGGTAGACGGCTGCATTGACCCTGGACCTCAGGAAACAGAGTGGGCCAACACCGGCAGATGACATGGCACCCCACACCATCACTGACGGTGGAAACTTTACACTGGACCTCATGCAACGTGGATTCTGTGCTTCTCCGCTCTTCCTCCAGACTCTGGGTCCTTGATTTCCAAAGGAAATGCAGAACTTGCTTTCATCAGAAAACATAACTTTGGACCACTCAGCATCAGTCCAGTCCTTTTTGTCCTTGGCCCAGGCGAGACGCTTCTTGCACTGTTTCTTGTTCAAGAGTGGCTTGACACACGGAATGCGACACCTGAATCCCATGTCTTTCATGAGTCTCCTCGTGGTGGTTCTTGAAGCGCTGACTCCAGCTGCAGTCCACTCTTTGTGGATCTCCCCCACATTTTTGAATGGGTTTGTCGTCACAATTCTCTGCAGGGTGCGGTTATCCCTAGAGCTTGTACACTTTTTTTCTACCACATTTTTTCCGTCCCTTCGCCTGTCTGTTAATGTGCTTGGACACAGAGCTCTGCGAACAGCCAGCTTCTTTAGCAATCACCTTTTGTGTCTTGCCCTCCTTGTGCAAGGTGTCAATGATTGTCTTTTGGACAGCTGTTAAGTCAGAAGTCTTCCCCATGATTGTGGTGCCTTCAAAACAAGACTGAGGGACCTTTTAAAGGCCTTTGCAGGTGTTATGAGTAAATCAGCTGATTAGAGTGGCAGCAGGTGTCTTCTATA